TTCTTAATTTAGGTGTTGTTAGGCACGTAAGTTGTTTTTAATTGTATTTTCTCTTTAACCAGGATGGTCACCTTTAGGTTTGTGTGTGTGCCAGGTCTCTGAGCACTGTTTAATAAGCTGCTGGCACCCAGCTCCTGCTTCTTCCCTTCCTAACCCCCCTTTTCCTCCTGACTCCATCATTTTCATCCTGGTCAGAGTCACTGAAAAGGAGAAGACAGAACTCTGGAGAGCAACCTATGGACATTTTGGGAAGTTGTAGAGAGTTCACCAAGTTTAGCTAGCAACATTTTTCTCTAAAAGTGTTGGTTTTCAAGGGAATAACCAGTGCCTTTGAGCCACAGAGTACATTTGCTGAGCGGTTTATCAACTGAATCATAACTTCTTTCATGGAAAGAGAGGGAATTTCCCTGGCCAGAGTCTCCAGCTGGCACTCAGCGTTCCCAGGCATGGCCGAACTGCATCAAGAAGTCACCACACCTCTAGCCTGGGACTCCAGCAGGATGCCAGGAAGTAAAATAGCCATAGTTAAAAAGAAATAGGCATTGTCAAAAAGAAAATTGGTATCTTCAGGGTGCGGGGCTGTGAATTGTGATCCTAAATGTGATTGCACACGCATATCACAAAAACAGGGACCAGTCAATTGTTAAATTCAGTATTGTAACACTAAGAAAAATTGAGTTTAAAGTTGCATTTACTGACAACTTTATGCAAGAAAAGCCAAGGAGATTAGTAAGGAAACGTATTTGTCAATCCTTTCCCACAAATGGTTTGTGGGGCAACATCACAGGCAAGACTTGGAATGAGCAATCCTGACTGGACAGACTTGGCTAATACACAACAGCTCCAGGCACTGCAGAGACTGAAAAGCTGAAAAATTAAAGGACTCTTTGTGCAAACTCAACATGTGGGAGGGAAAACAGAGCACCCATCTCCCTGGTTGTCTCCACCGCCCTCCTCGGAGCAGCGTAAACCCGCAGTGGTCCATGGATTGTTCCTACCCGGTGATCACCACGCCATCCTGCTGGCTCCAAACCATGCAGGCTTCCTGCCCTTTGCTATCCCGACCCAAACAAAATCCACCAACACCAGATTCACTTCCATTTGGCTACTTTCATTCTGAGTGCCACCCAGCAACGTAACAGGCTGCAAACAGACAGTTCTCCCCAAGCACGGGGTGTTTTTCTAGACACCAATATCAAACATGCTTGTATTTGTATCTTATTTGCCAAGGATAATTTGAATTTTGAACCAACTGAATTCAAAATCCTTGCCTGTCCTAGCTAGGAAAAATGTACAAGTTTGTTCTGAAACATTCAGATGGTTTAAGATCAAATTTTTGCCTATATTAGAAAACTAAATTCAATTTATAAGCTACCTCGATAATCAGGAAAAAGGGGACTCTGAATGAAGATTTTCCCATGCTGGAAAACCCTGTGCATTTCAAGAATTCTCAGCCTTGGCACATAATTAAGTGTTTCACTAGGAACAAGGAAGGAAATAGATTCCTCTCCTGCAAAACTTCCAAAACCCAAAGGAGCCGAGAGCAACCAAGGCTTTCAAATCAAAACTCCTCGCCACAGACTTGTTTGCTCATGAAGTCATCTCACCTTGTGTAAATGCATTTCCCCGAGCCCAGAGCAATGAGCTCTGTGAATCAGCAGCGCTGGGATACCCAATAGGACTGACTAGACACACCACCACACCATGTGATCAGCGCCTTATTTCCAACAAAAAACCAACCAGCCATAAAATTCCCAACTGTTCCCATTATATCACCTAGCTGGAAGCATCTTTTTGAGTCCAAATGTTCATCAATCACACCACCATCATGAGTCCACATGAAAATGATTTCAAGCCTCAGCCTACAGTTACACCCTGATCATAAACACTCAAAAAGCATTTTTTCCTATTTACTCATGCGCAGCTGCAGAGAAAAAGAAAAGCAACTCAAAGCAGCATCCAAGAGGGAGTTCTGCACCAGACAGAGCTCAGAGGTCAGTTCACCCACATGCTCTACAGAGCACCAAAGCAGACGTTTCATTTCAGTCCTTACCTCCCTGCTCCCCCAGAGCAGCCTTTCCCTTTTTTTTCCTGTCCCTCTTTATTTCCTCTGCAAGTTCTAAGTTGGCCTCAGTTCTGGCAGTTCTCACTTCATCCCTGAACTTCCTGACCTGCCAGATATGGCCTGCTTGGCTTATCAGTATTTATTTCCCACCCACCCCCATTCCTCACAGGCGTATTTTTAAGTTCCTTCCAGAGCTAGCTGTCCCCAGCTAGCTACCTAGTTTCCAGAATATGGTATTCTGCCAGCATTTTTGAGCTGTTGAAAACCCAAAATGAAGCAAACCCAAAACCACACACATCACCTCCCTTGAACTTTCTAGTCCAGCAGATTTTACTGACAAGTTCATTCTGCCTCGTGCATCCTGCAGCAATGGACACACTACACCTCACTTTGCTCTTAAAACTCTGTCAATGTGTTGCCATCTGATGAAGGGACCTTCCATCCTTGAAGAAAAGCCCTGATCTTATGAACTCTGCAAGCCCCTCTCCCCTCCTTCTTCAAAATACCATTTTTTTTTCAGTGAAATCAGTGCATCAGAGCTGTTTCCATCCCATCACGCCCCTCTGGCCAGGATGTAGGACTCGGAGATTGGCTGAGCCACCACACCGCGGAGCACCCTCTCCAGCACAGAACAGTTGCTTCTGGTTCACTCCACTGGGAATACTGCAGTGTCATTTCTCCTAAAAGACAGCACCTACCTTCCTGGTCTGTCAGGCTCCTTTCCAGCGCCATATCCATGTTTCCCACCTGCAGTCTTGGCAGACAGTGTGGTTGTTGAAAACCTACTTGCGGGCCTGTTGATTCCTAATGAGCAGCCTCCAGACTGTTGCTCTTAACTCACAGTCCCTTCTTATAGCTTTTGCATTACCAGTTAGCTATGAATAATTTAGGTTATAAATTAAAAGGTTAATGGCCAGAAGATCAGCCAGGCTGAAGAACAGCTTCTTGGCATAAGCACTGAATGCACACCTTGCTAGGTGTTACTTTTTCAGCACCACTTCCTGTATTTATGAAAACAACGATGTCACAGTGTGGGATAGGAATGAGCTGGGGTTAATGACCCCTGGGACTCCTTTCTGCCCTACAGACCTCATGTGATACCACAGGTGAGCACAAGTTCCTCTCCCTTCCCTGTGTTCACCCCAACATCTGTGCAGCAGACATGACCCTCCAACCTCCCTTCCACGAGGCTGACCAAGCCTGGCTGTTCTCACCTCTTCCCAGTAACTTGGGGCAACACCTGCTCCCTACCCCGGAAGTGAGGAGATCTTACACAAAGGAAAAGTTTCCCATCACTCGTGTCACATGCTTCTAGGATTATTTTTTCACATCCAGGGACAGCAAGCAGAGTTTAGTAGAGTATCCCTCATAAACATACTCTGTGAATTCAGGGAAAGTCTTTGTTCCACCATACTAAGGAGCATCCCATAACGGTGGTGCCCAGAAAATCCTCATTTCCTGCCTCCACATATTTTTAAGTGTGGTTAGAATTGAAACAGCCTAAATTATGTAGATTGAAAGCTTGGACACATACAAAACACCTCCCTGAGAAAGATTCAATTCCATAGAAATTAGGCATGGAAGAGCAGGACCCAGACCACAGACTGAAAGGAGTGAAAAGATGAGTTCATGAAAAATATTCTCAAGAGTTTTCTTTCTCCCTCCCCAAACACACCAAGCTGTTAATAAAGGCTTTGAAATGATCAATGAACTACACGGTAAATCCAAATTTCTGATTAATATGTAAAAAAAAAAAAAAAGCGGAACTGATATTCCCATCCTGTCAGGTGAGGAGGAAACAGGTTTGGGGTTTGTTTGGGGCTAAGTAGCAGCAGGCACAGCCTTCAGGAGCAAACATGCCTTCACTGGCCAAGATCTGCTGGCAAGAACCAGGGGAGGCCAGGAGTTACCACCAGGGCACACAGCACTGAAATGGAAAAGGGGCAGAACACAGGCATAGGGAGTTTCACTGATCTCCAAGGGGAACAAAGGGCTACTACTGCAAAACAACCTCTCAACTCATGGAATTTCAGTGCAAGAATCACATAACCAGGTGTAAAAATCTTCAAATGTAATTTATTAAGACATTCAACTATGTCTGTCAGTCTACATCCAAATTTACTACTAAAAATAAAATAGTATCACATTTCACATTAGGAATACCGACTTTGAAAAACACTTGAGTCAAGCCTATCGTATAAATAAGTGACTAATTTCTCTTCATATCAAAATTCACATAAAAAAATTGCCTGCCCCCTACTCCCGCCTATTTCCCCACCCCAGTCCCTTGCTCTACTTGAAGCCATGATGAATGTAAAAATTTAAGTATGGACATGTCCTTGTCAAAGAAAAAAAGGTGCAAACCTATTAACAGCTTTAAAAGTGGCATTTGCGGAGTCTGATCATACACAATAATGTACTCATTCCCAAAGTGCAAATATCGCCAGAGTTTAATACTGTTTTAATTCAGCTGCAAGGATTAAACATTACACAGCACAGTACTGCCAGGCCTCTATCCGTGCCCTAAAACTCATCCCACTTTCCTCCTTGCACATGGCAGCAGAGGTCAAAGTGTTCATTAGAGCTTTAGTTTACTTCATGCAGCCCAGACTGCGCCCATTATTAGCAAAAGTTTCATATACATCAAAATATTGACGACTCCGTCATAAAAGTCAAGAGTCACTATAGATTACATGAATTCAAATGCAACTGCCCCAAGAACACCCAAAGCATACACACGACGTATTAAGAGTGCTTCCATCTTCTCGTACAATCGCTGCCGTTTTACATCTCTGATTTTTGTTTACGTGCCATAAGAAAACGTCGGCAGCCAAAGCTGCGCGTCAGTCAGAGACTGGCAACTCATGGCCTTTAACGCCCCTCAGGACCCCGGGACATGGCTGTATGCAACCCCTCTTCCTGACCAAAACCAACTGACAGCGTTCTGTCAGCCTGGCTACAACCTCTCACAGACCTTTCGCTTCTCTTACCCCTCACCTACGTCTTGAAAACACTCTTCTTCACTGCTAATTATTTCCAGACATCCTTCCTATGCCCACAGTTCAGAGAGCTTCTGGAGTCATTTCTACTACATCTCACTGGAGTTACCACTACCAAGCAGCCCATAAAATTCAGCATGGGAGATTACATTTTGACCAGCATTAATAGCTACACTTCTTTCACAGCTGTGGAAGGACTGGTTTTCTTCGGAGTCAAACGTGGATCTCTGAAATGTGTTTGTTCCCGTGTCATCCTGTGTAGCCTCAGAGCTGGACACAAACCCTTAGATCTCGAGCAGGGCATCCCTCCTGGGCTGCAAGTAGTTCTGCAGCACAAGCTGCTCCCTGGGTGGCCTCACAGGGGCTTGTGTCACTGTCCATGCTGTGAGACGCCCCTGGATGGGCAGAGGCCTCCAGGCCGTCGTGTCCATCAGCAGCCTGGCCCTTGCCCCTGCTTGGGCTGTCTGTCACACTTGGCCTGTTGTCACACTCAGCACCAGGTGGCTCAGCTGCATCTCCAGGCCTGGTGTTTCGCTCTGCACTAGGATTTGGCTGTTGCACTGGCTCTGGTCCCAGTCCTGGTAGCTGTGAAGGGCTCTTCAGTTGGCAGTGGCACAGAGGGCAGGTTTCTTGCACGTACAGCCATTTCTTAAGACAACCCGCATGAAAAAAATGGCTACATGGTGTGATTACAGCAGTTTTCATATCCTGAAAGACACGAAGAAGATCTTATTATTTATAACCCCATTCCTCTCCTCTTGCCCCACACATCTAATGGGTCCAACAGGCATGGAGGAGACAGAACCAGTCCACAGTCAAGCAAGAGAAGGTTCCTTCCTTCATACCAACAAGCCTCCATATCAGGAGCAGCTGAGGGAACTGGGGGGGCTCAGCCTGGAGAAAAGGAGGCTCAGGGAGGACCTTCTCACTCTCTCCAACTCCCTGAAAGGAAGTTGTAGCCAGGTGGGGGTCAGTCTCTTCACCCAAGTAACGAGCAACAGGACAAGAGGACATGTGCTCAAGCTGTGCCAGGGGAGGTTCAGGTTGGACATCAGGAAGAATTTCTTCACAGAAAGGGTTGTCAGGCATTGGAAGGGGCTGCCCAGGGAGGTGGTGGAGTCCCCATCCCTGGAGTTGTTCAAGGCACAACTGGATGTGATACTCAGTGCCCTGGTCTAGTTGTTAAGGTGGGGATTGGTCAAAGGCTGGACTCAATGGTCTTGGAGGTCTCTTCCAACCTTAATGATTCTTTGATACACACACAATTCAAACACAGGCCAGGTCTGGCTTTTTATATTACAGGCATTAGAAATTAGGCCAAAAAAATCTTTGTTTATAAGGTATTAATAAACACAAGCTTTTGCAGGATGAGAGTCACAGGACTGGTTGGCTCAAGAAACAATTGTGCAAGTCAAAACAGCACAATTACAGATACAACATATAACAACAGCACACCAGAAACTAAGAGACACCCTAAACTCTGTCAGCTGAGACCTACATAGTCTGGTGTTTGAAACACGGTTGTTCAATCTGGCAGATTCAAAGAATTTATACCAAATTCAGTCTCAATCCAATCATACCCTAATTGCACACTACTGATCTTAGGGTGATTCGTTCACTGTCACACATAACTACTATTTGTATTCAAGAGTAAGAGACTTTGGAGCCAGAAGTGTGATAAAGATATTACTTTCAGCATTAATGTCTGAGGTCCTTACATCTGCTGGCTTATGTTAGCATGACCCTTAACCTTTTGATAATTAGGTTTCTGTTACAAAACTGACACTGCACATGAAGTAGCAATGACTGCAGAGACTGAGCTGCTTCGACAGAATAATAACAAATCAGCTACTGAGAACACATTGTCTTTCACTAACAAAATCTTCCACTAATGAAGAAAGGGCACATTTGCTGCTACTGAGACCAGCTCAACCCAAACAGGAGAGGTGTCAAAGAAGCTCAAGGACAGTTTGTTGTGTAACTGGAGAAATAAGAATGACAGTTTAAACAAATCTATTCAGAGCAATCTCCTAATTCATAAAGCCTATTCAGTGACAGTGCTCCAAATCAATTTTCACAAGGCAGAAAACTGGGTAATTCCAGTAACTTACTGAGGACAGTATTTATTATTCAAGTAACTTATTTTACTAGTTGCAGACTGAACTTGATAGTCTTGAGGTAATTCAATTGAAGCCAATCTTTTGACACTTCCATTCTTACCTGGTAGCAGATGGCACAGATATCATTGTGCTGCTCCAACTGCTCTTTCGTGGCCACGGGCAGTGATTTTATCTTATTCACAGCGTCCCTTCGAAGAAGGAAACTCTTCCAGCCCAGCTGGGCCCGCAGCCACACATTGTAGTAGGAGTGAATGAAGATGATCACAGAACCCATCACGGTCCATTCACCAAAGATGGTTTCCGAGACTCCGTAGGCCACCACACAGAGAGCCACCAGGAACTCCAGCAGCCGGTACGTGCCGTTCACGTAATAAATCACGTCATCCATGTTTTCCACTGGCTCTTTTCTGAACTCCTCCACCATAAACAAAACATAAATGAAGAGTGTCCCAAGCACCTGTAACAAAGTTCAAGGCCATGAGCTCAGCATTCAATCCTGAACTGGAGCTTAAGACATTTGGCATCGTCCACTGAGCTCTGTATACACAACAACCCCAGACTGGACAGTGGGCAGCCAAGCCCCAAAACAGTGAAATTGCTGCTGAACTTCAAGACAAATAAAAGTCACTGTTTCTTGCAAAGCAAGTACTTCCCCTTCTGTACTTTCCTGAGTCCAGAGCACAGCTGAGCTGATTTAACAAAAGTTGTGAGCATCATGAGGGACACTTTTATAATTTTATAATTAAAATAATCAAGTTACAATAAATGCTCACAATACAAAGCATTTCCTGTATTTACATTGATGTGTTTTGAACATCAAATTGCTTTCAAAGAGCTATAGCTAAGCAATGACACAAATGAGTACTTGGGGAAAAACCTTTTTACTATAATCGTTACACCCTCAAAAGCCTTCTGGCTTTACATTTTGAAATAGATTTTCATTCACCTATGTTCTCAGCTCCCCCCAGGAGCTCCTTAGCCTCATATACAGTATAAAGGAAGAGATTTTATATCACCTCTTGTAATTCTGCCCTTCTATCATCTCTACTCTTTTCTCATCACATAATTCTCCCCTCAGAGTAACAGGATCGCAGTTAATGCTTCCCGGGGCTACCGTTCTTACCTGAAGAGAGGTTAAAATACTGCTGGAGATAATGATCAACAGCCAGAAATCCATGTGGAAAAACTGACAAATCATGTAGGCCATGTATGCAGGGAACACGAGTAAGAACAGACAGAGGCTGACTGCTCGGAAGTGCTTCCACAGACTCCTGCGAACAACACAATAGGGTTTTATTTTTCAAGTCAGATTTGACTGTCAGATTATGAACAGACTGCCTGCTGGATGTAGGCCTGTCAGATGTTTGCTCCAGGCTTTAACTTGTTGAAAGGAGTTTCTATTTTACTTGGGCACAATCTCATTCCCATCTTTCATGCAAGCCTACAACAACTATGGAAAGTTCCCTCTCATCTGACCTTTGCTGTTTTCAATAGAGACACAACAACTGTGGGCAAAAATTCACCTACAATAATTGTCATACTGGATCAAGTCAGTGGTTAGACCAAAAAAAGTATCTGATATACTGAATGTTTCAGATGAAAGTCCATCACAATAAATTATTAAACCTGTAACTCTTTGGACACTTCTCTAAATAAACAAGTGATCTCTAGATTATATAATTCTTGCAACTCTTTTGTATCTTTTTGCTAATACATGTGGGGAAATGCTCTTTCCTTCCATCACCAGATTTAACCCTACTGTCTTTAGAAGAATATTCTCCAATTCAGAGATCACAAAAGAAGAAAGGCAGCAGGACTTGAACATTCATCTCTGCCAGTCCTTTCTCTGCTCCTGTCATTTACTTCTTCCTAATCTCCTCCCCAACCTAAACATACCATCTATCTTTTTACAGTCACCCACTTGTGAAGGCTTTCCGAATATCTTGAGTAATTTAGTATCCTACCTCTGCTTGTTCCTTAGGTTTTATTTTAACCTTATTAAGCTCTGGAAATGAGGTGCAGAAAAAGTGAAACTATTGGGGGGACAGGACAGCAGCACAAATTGGTTGATCAAATAGTCTGAAGAAACATCACAATGATACAGAACACGCTGGCTACAAGCAGCCTCTGAGCTAAATAACCTACACACAAACAAACCTCTTTTCATTTCTTCACTTACAGGTTACAGAAAGGGAAAAGGCAAAAGCAATTAACAAAGATACAAACAGATCAACATGAAAACATCAGATACCACCAATACAGCTCTTCAAAACACAAATTAAAGAAACCCACATGATCAGAACATGTGGGACACTAATGCAAACCTTCCACCTCTTACTTTGTGCCAGTAAACCCTATCAATTGGGGATCATAGCCTTACCAAAAAAAAAAAGATTTTACAATATCTAACACAAGGTCACTACCAGAAGCTTCCCACCCTCAATAGCTATGTGAGATCACTGCATTCGAGGGAAACCCACCCAACTGCAGTGGAGGTTAAGAAAAACCATTCTGCAAATCTGCACAATGGGAGTGTGGGTGGGGAGAGCACAGTCCTGGATTTGCTTAACTGAGACCACAGTGCACTGACACCCTTGCTAGGGAGAATAACCAGTGAGCAGTTCTACACAGGGAATGGGCAGCCTGCAGCTGCAGAGCAGCGTGGTCTTGCACAGGCTGGATGGACACAGTCCTGAGCAGGAGCAGCTGATCAAAGTCAGCCCTATTTGGCAGCACAGAGAATGGGGAAAAGTATTAGTGTATGCCTGGAGGGGGTAGGACAGAGAAGAAAAACTAGAGAATTTAGACTAGAAAAGAAATCTGCATACAGAAAAAAACAGGGTAACTTTACAAGCTACTAAAAATCCAAATTAGATCATCAATTACTAGTTTATCACCTCCTAAAAGAACATTGAGTAACTTTCAGTTTAGGAAACTTAGTCTCTTACTTGTCCCTTGAGG